GGAAGGAAGGAGGGGTCAAGTGCCCCAGTGGTTGCATTTACGGCCCACCTCCACAACATGTAAATAAGCCTCGCCTCCCCCAGTCATCATCCTTACCACTTTCATTTTGTCAGTCTCTGGAGAAGAGGCTCCGAATCCCCAAATTCACCATGCGGTGAATGCATTGGTCAAGTTATTTTAAGTAAAAACAAAGAGTGCCTCAATTTGGTGGATTTCTTACTAGGTCAGATGGAACAGGAGCTGCAGGTTGTTTTAAGTCTGTTACTCCTCCACTCATCCATCCATTCGGAGTAAAGTAGTGGCATTTGAGCGTCAGCATGTGCGTAGCCAATGGACTCTTCCATCGCTGTGACCCCTCTATCTCATATTTTGGTGAATTTTGCTTCCACAAAATGAGGGTGTCTTCATCAGGCGCCCTCTTTCTCGCACAAAATGACCGAGGAGGGACAAACTTGTGATAACTGTCAGAGAAAGAGGCTGAAATTTACGCGAAGTTGGTCAACATGATGGAAAGATTGTACAAACATCCGACGGAGCCCTCTACTTCTGTGAAAGTGTAGACTGTGTGAGGTGGAGCGAAACAGTGAGCATGAAGAGCAAATCCCGATGAGCTGTATGTCAGTGACGAAGACAAAGCCTCTCCCTATCCAGTCACCACACCTAGTTGTGTGCTGCTGAGGTAGCGTTAGATGAGATCAGAGCTTGTCCCGCAGACATTGGACTTTCCTTCCATGCACCAGTCTCGATTGCTTTTAAAGGCGTCTTATCTCACACACCGTCGGGTTGTTACCCACCCAATGGAGAGCCGTTTGGACGTGTTGGGTTGGGTTGGGCTGTAGCAAGTAACCGTGAGGGAGTAACTGCGTCTACACACGTACACAGGGCCAGCTTCGTCTGCTTGCAAAATGGAGGCAGCCGAAGCTACGCCTTGTCGTGTGATGCGCGTTGAAGTGGAGAGGCCCACCCTTATCCCAACTCAGTCAGTCAGTCAGTCAGTTAGGTAGTTGTTTGGTTGGCCGGTCAACGTGTAGTGCATCCGCGTTTGCCCATTTTTATAGTGTAGGCGAAAGAAATGAAGAACAACTGATTGGCAGGGCATGCGACTTGTTGCCTTCGCCTGATGCATTGTTCGTGAGTGTGTAAGTGGGTGGAAGGCATTTGGCCAGCAACTTCCGTCACGCCTGTACCGGTTGGTGTGGGTGGAAAGGAGTCGGTGCATCAGGAAGCAACGTGATGTGTCAATGTTGAGATGTAAATGCCCACGATGAGACGTGGAGGATCTTGGTGATTGGTGTAGAGGAAGGGGCATCTTTGAGTGGTGGGTCACCAGAATGCAATATGTCCAACAGAGGAGATTGTGGATCCTCTCTAACTGCCCAACAACAAATGTGAGGAGGAGCTAACTCCTGCTTCAACCTAAGAAGCTTTAATTATGCCCATCAAATTCAAATATCAA